CTTTAATAGTAAACACCATATAACAGTGGGCTGACAATCAAGATATTCAATGGAGGTCTCACACTGCCTACCATCGCAGGCTTCTGATATTGTTGAGCATAGGAATAGCATCCTCAAAAATCAACTCAAAAGAGCATTCTGACCCCACCTCTCTAACCTTTTACTGTTTACACACCTTGGTAAGGAAGTTTGATCGATGAATTTGGCTGTTCCCAAAAAGGGATCATGTATTCTTGGCCACTTCCTTGGTAATAATCATCAGGACAGAAGAGGTGGAGGATTATATAGGCCTATTTTTGAAAATTCAGGATTCTGTCCTGACCGTTCCTGAGCATGATGCTTCTTTCTTTACTGTAATGGCCTCTGACCAACCTGATGGATATACCCTGCCAGTGACAGCCTGGCCTGCTGCTGCCTTTTCCCCCTTTTACCTTCCCCACCCCCGTACTCTGTACACACTGCTTACTTTACATATATTAATAAATTACTTATGTATCAATTGCTTATGTATCAGCTCTAATTTAGTCAAACTTTCCTATCCACTGTGATTAGGTTTCAACATTCCCAGCTCTCCTGTAATGAACATATGCAGAACATATCTGGTAAGCCATTTTATTGGGCTGTTGGAAAAGTCATCATGCATTTTTGCAATGAAAAACATAGAAAAAATACATCATGACTTTTCCAACAATCGAATATAAATGGGTTATTGTGATCCATTACCTGTTGATTCTTCCTAGTTTCCCTCTCAGAGGATAATTTTCAGTGTTTTGGAGCACTTCCTTATCGTGACTACATTTTATAAGTAAATACTGATCTGTTTCACCTGAAACTTTCTTACAATATGGAGAACACATTCCATTTGAATTTCGTTTATTGTTTTAGATGATGAGACTAAGACCAAGATTCGAGAGCTGGCTTCAGAGGAGGAAATTACCACAAAACCTGAACCATTGACTGAAGAGTCTGGCAACCCCAGAGACAACGTTCTCCAGGATTCTGAATGCAGAGAATTCTGTGAATTGTCAGATACATTAAATGAAAAGAATCAGAACCCCTTTAAAAGAAGACAACATAGCTGTGATGAATGTGGACAAAGCTTTGCTTGGAGTACAGGCCTTATTAGGCATCAGAGAACCCATTGGGAGAAACCTTTTGAATGTGATAAGTGTGGAAAGGCATTTAGTGTGAGCTCAGCCCTGGTTCTGCATCAGAGAATTCATACTGGGGAGAAACCCTATCCTTGTAATTGGTGTATTAAAAGTTTCAGCCGCAGCTCAGACCTTATTAAACATCAAAGAGTCCACACTGGTGAAAAACCTTATAAATGTGATGAATGTGGGAAAGCCTTCAGTCAGAGCTCAGATCTTATTATACATCAGAGGATCCATACAGGCGAAAAACCCTATCAGTGCAGTCATTGTAGTAAAAGTTTTAGCCAGCGCTCAGACCTGGTTAAACATCAGAGAATCCATACTGGAGAGAAGCCTTATACATGTAACCAATGTAACAAACATTTTAGTCAGAGTTCTGATGTTATAAAACATCAAAGAATCCACACTGGTGAGAAACCATATAAATGTGACGTGTGTGGAAAAGCCTTCAGTCAGAGCTCAGATCTTATTCTACATCAGAGAATTCACACTGGAGAGAAACCATATCCATGTAATCAATGTAGCAAAAGTTTCAGTCAGAACTCAGATCTTATTAAACATCGAAGGATCCACACTGGGGAGAAACCCTATAAATGTAGTGAGTGTGGGAAAGCTTTTAACCAGAGCTCCGTCCTTATTCTGCACCAGAGAATTCACACTGGAGAGAAACCCTATCCATGTAATCAGTGTAGCAAAACCTTCAGTAGACTTTCAGATCTTGTTAATCATCAGCGAATTCACACTGGAGAGAAGCCTTACCCATGTAACCAGTGCAGTAAAATGTTTAGTCGAAGATCAGACCTTGTTAAGCATCATAGGATTCATACAGGTGAGAAACCCTATGAATGTGATGAGTGTGGGAAAACATTCAGTCAGAGCTCCAACCTTATTCTACATCAGAGAATCCACACTGGAGAGAAACCCTATCCATGTAGTGATTGTACTAAAAGTTTTAGTCGTCGTTCAGACCTTGTTAAACATCAAAGAATACACACTGGAGAGAAACCATATGCATGTAATCAGTGCAATAAAAGTTTTAGTCAAAGCTCAGACCTCACTAAACATCAGAGAATACACTCTGGGGAAAAGCCCTATCATTGTGATAGTTGTGAGAAAGCCTTCAGTCAGAGTTCTGACCTTATTCTTCATCAGAGAATTCACACTGGAGAAAAACCATACCTGTGCACACAGTGCAGCAAAAGTTTCAGTCAGAATTCAGACCTTACCAAACACCAGAGAATTCACACTGGGGAAAAACCATATAAATGTAATGAGTGTGGGAAGGCCTTCAGTCAGTGCTCAGCTCTTATCCTACATCAGAGGATCCACACCGGGGAGAAACCATATCCATGTGATCAGTGTGGCAAAAGCTTTAGCCGGCGCTCCGATCTCATTAATCATCAAAGAATCCACACTGGCGAAAAGCCATATAAATGTGATACATGTGGGAAAGCCTTCAGCACATGCACTGATCTTATTGATCATCAGAGAATTCACACTGGGGAGAAACCCCACAGGTATGTTCAGTGCAGCAGAAATTTTACCCAGCTCTCTGATCTTACTGATCATGAGAAAGACCATTCTGCCCAAGAAAGTCTAAATGTAATGAATATGGGAAAACCTTTAGTGTATAGACCAACTTTATTTAGTACCAGAGACACTATACCAGAAAAAAAATCTTATGAATGCTGTTGATTATGAAAAAGGTTTTAATCANGAGTATACAGTGATCAGTTTGTAGTAGTCACTTAGTACTCTGTGGTCAAGCATGAAGTCTCTATTAGTAACCCAAGAACAACTTAGGATCTGCTTTTCACATAGAAAATTGTTGTTGGCAGAAGTATGTTCTTACTTCACTGTGGTTCTCTTATAGAGGGTTACAAGAGGCTGCATACAGCATCCCTGACAACTGCAGATACTTCCAATACCACTGGTTATCCTGGTTAATAGGGTTATGTAACAGGACAGCTTGCATTGCAGCCTGAACCTACTGCAGAACCTTTTTTTACTCTGAGTCTCACTCAAAAGTAGCAATCCTATAAGTTATTGAAATTGGTTATTTCAGTACTCTGAACGGTGGTGTCGCCTCAAAAATGTGGGCCCACCAAGCATTGTGCAATGTTAAAAAATGGTTGGAGATATAAATGAAGTGAGAGAAGAAGAAGCCATATGACTATTTGAGAGAAGAGTGTTCCAGGCAGAGGGAATAGCAAATGCCAGAGGTCCCTGAATGTAGCAGGAACAGAGTGAGCCTGAGGTAGACAGGTCATAGGCGTGGTGGGATGAAATGAGGGCAGAGAGAAAGGGACCAAATCACGTGGAACCATCTAAGCCATAGTAAGGATTTATTCCCAATGTAATGGGAAGCCATTGGAGCACTTTACACAAGATAATAACATGTAAAGATTGCTCTGACTGTTATATGGAAAATAGGAGAAAGGTAAGTTAGCAAGAAGAAAGGAAATGTTTTAAGAGTAATCAACTATGTCAAATCAAGAATAAGATTGAGAATTGACAGTTGAATTTGTCAAGGTACAGTTTATTAGGGACTTTAATAAATATAGTTTCAATGACATTATAGAAATAAAAGCCTGATTGCAATAGGTTATTAAAGAAAATAGACTTAATGTTGGTTAGAATATAGAACAGTGTGAACTCATACACTCCTGATGGAAGTGTGAATTGGTTTGACTACTTTGGAAATATCTAGTTGAAGATCCACAATTCTGATCCTAAGTTTTTATAACCTGTAGAAACTAGATATGTGCACTGAGATAGACATTCCAGCATATTCATATCAGCATGGTTTGTAATAGGAAAATGTTATTGTCCATTGAAGGAGAATAGGTAAATAAATTTTGGTGTGTGTCATACCATAGTAGTGAACATGAATGAACTACAGCTATACAGCTATGAATAAGGATGAATCTTCCAAACATAATGTTGAACAAAAAAACATGTCGCAGAATGAATGTGGTATAATTCCATGAATGTATAAAGTTCAAAAACATGCTGTATTTGTCTTCTAGGACAGCCATAACAGAATATCACAAACTGGGTGGCTTAAACAACACAAACTATTTTCTCACAGTTCTGTGCATTAATTTTGGTCATCTGTGCTTTCTTCTAGAACATTTATAATTTTAGCTTTTATGTTTAGGTTTATATTATATTTCCAGTTAATTTTGGTGTACAACATAAGGAAAGAGTTGGGGTTAATTTTTGTCATTATGATATCCAGTTCTAACACTTTTTGTTCTAACACTTTCACCACTGAATTATCTTAGCAATTTTGTTGAAGATATTTCTACATATGCGTTTGGATCTGTTTATGGACTCTGTCCTAGTCCATTAATTCATGTCAGTCCTATGCCAGTACCACACTG